AGCAGATGTAAAATCAATGAGATAACATCAAACAGTAATAATGCTATTTTTTAATTTAATTTAATTTTATTTATGTATTGAGACAGAGTTTTGCTCCTGTTGCCCGGGCTGGAGTGCAATGACGTGATCTCAGCTCACTGCAACCTCCGCCTCTGAGGTTCAAGCAATTCTCCTGCCTCAGCCTCCCGAGTAGCTGGGATTGCAGAGATGCACTACCATGCCCAGTTAATTTTGTATTTTTAGTAGAGACGGGGTTTCTCCATGTTGGTTAGGCTGATCTCAAACTCCCAGCCTCAGGTGATCATCTGCCTTGGCCTCCCAAAGTGCTGGGATTGCAGGCGTGAGCCACCTTGCCGTCTGATAAGTGCTATTTAAAAAAGAAAAGAAAAGAAAGCCGGTTGTGGTGGCATGTACCTGTAATCCCCGCTACTTGGGAGGCTGAGGCTGGAGAATTGCTTGAGTCCAGGAGTTCAAGGCCAGCCTGTCCAACAAAGTGAGACCTCTCATCTTTTTTAAAAAATAAAAATTAGTCCAGGCAAGGTGACTCACATCTGTAATCCCAGCTCTTTGGGAGGCTGAGGCAGGTGGATCACCTAAGGTCGGGAGTTTGAGACCAGCCTAATCAACATGGAGAAACCCCATCACTACTAAAAACAAAATTAGCTGGGCGTGGTGGTGCATCTCTGCAATCCCAGCTACTCGGGAGGCTGAGGCAGGAGAATTGCTTGAATCTCAGAGGCAGAGGTTGCAGTGAGCTGAGATCATACCATTGCACTCCAGCCTGGGCAACAAGAGTGAAACTCCATCTCAGAAATAATAATAATAATTAATTAATTAATTAATTTAAAAAATAAAAATTAAATAAATAAATAAGAGCAATGGGGTGGAGAGTTATTTCTGGACCACCCTAAATACAGTAATCAAGGAAGACTCTCTGAGGAAGTCATATTTGAAGTCCAAATGTGAATAAAAGAAAAGAGCTGGCTGGAGGAAGATTGAGCAGGTTAGGGCAGCAAGCCAGAGGGAGTGAGCAGCAAGTATTCTAGCCAAGGGCAGAAAGGAAATGGCCTTGCAAAGCACAGAGAGAAACCATGTGGCTTATACATCCGGAATAAGGGGAAAAGTCATGTAAGATGAAGTAGAAGAAACAGTGAAATAGGCCAAAGATATATCACATAGGGCCTTGCTGACCAGCGTTCAAAATTTGCTTAGTATTTTAATGAGATGTCATTAGAAGGTTGTATTGAACCCTAGTCATTCACACTTTAGCATGAATTACTGTAACTTGACCTTTTCTCCTATGAATTTTTTTTTTTTTTTTTTTTTTTTGAAACGTAGTTTCACTCTGTTGCCAGGGCTAGAGTGCAGTGGTGTGATCTCGGCTCACTGCAACCTCCGCCTCCTAGGCTCAAGCGATTCCCCTGCCTCAGCCTCCTGAGTAGCTGGGATTACAGGTGCCTGCCACTACGCCCAGCTAATTTTTTTGTATTTATAGTAGAGATGGGGTTTCACCATGTTGGCCAGGCTGGTCTCGAACTCCTGACCTCATGCTCCTCCTGTCTCGGCCTTCCAAAGTGCTGGGATTACAGGCGTGAGCCACCACGCCCAGCCTGTCCTATGAATTATTTTAGAACAATTGAAATTGACCCTTAGGTGAAAGTGGCAAGAAAGAGGGCAAAGTAATTTTTATATTGGCTCTGACTTGCAGGAAGATAATGGATGTGGTCTATTTAGTCTACACAAATCACCTCAAGCTTTGGAAATTTGCTGCATTAAAGATACTAAGTCAAAAAAAAAAAAAAGATATTAAGTCAGGCCAGACGTCGTGGTTCACGCCTGTAATCCCAGCACTTTGGGAGGCTGAGGTGGATGAATCACGAGATCAAGAGATGGAGACCATCCTTGCCAACATGGTGAAACCCTGTCTCTACTGAAAAATACAAAAATTAGCTGGGCGTGGTGACACGTGCCTGTCATCCCACCTACTCAGGAGGCTGAGGCAAGAGAATTACCTGAACCCAGGAGGCAGAGGTTGCAGTGAGCTGAGATTGCACCACTGCACTCCAGTCTCATGACAGAGACTGTCTCAAAAAAAAGATATTGAGTTCAGAGAAAGACAGCTGAGTTTGTTTTTTGTTGTTGTTTTCAACTGTATTTTCAAACACTTCTGCAGACTATAAAAAAGAAACCAAGGGGTGTGGTAGCATCCATGTGTGTGTGTATGTGTGTGTGTGTGTGTGTATATATATATGTAACTGTATGTGCTATGGCTTATCCTGAATTCCAGGCAATGTCAATGTCAGCCACTCACCAGATAATGTCTATTGTGTGTCCTGGAAGTCAGCAGTGCTATGTGTAGCTTTTTAACATCAACATCAATCCCTTCTTAAAGATTCAAATTTTAAAAAACCGTTTACATTCTAAGATAAATGACCTTTCCCACTCGTTGTACAATTTTGCGTAGCATGTTAATATAAAATATATAACTAGATATAGCTAATTGTAAATTTTCACTATAGCATAGTTACTTCCCAATGTAAAGGCCTACCTTACTATAGAGAATAATTTGACTTGGGGTTTGAAAATATAAGAAAAATCTATATGGAGCTAATGAGTCATGTTTTTCTTAAAATAAGGTTTATAATTAGAGATCTAATTTTTGTTTGCATTTGAGCTCACCTTGTTTTCCCAACTCAATAAATGATTACTGGGCTTTCCTTCACTCCCACCCCTGTCTGCCCTGAGAATTTGTTTGTTTTCTTGTTTTCTTGCATCAAGTCTGTTTCTACATACTGATCAGAGCACGTTATTGTCTTTTCAGTTGAATGACATTTGCTGACACCATGATTATACTCAAAAATGAATATGGTTGAAAATTTTAATATTCTGATGTATATAAGAATTCTACTCTGAAAAGATAAGGTCATTGATTAATATGCCAATTACCTGTACCTGACTTTGTGTCTTGGTTTAGCTGCCTGACCAAAAAAACGTCAAATCCATTTATGTTGTGTTCTCAGTTGATTGTCAATGACCGTTATTTCTGAAGTGATGTATGTATAGTTTATTTTTGTAATGAAAGGCTTTAGAGGTTTTCAAATAACTGGCAAAATAATAGTAAATCTGAAGTTTACTTCCATTTGTCTTGTTCAATTAAATTATAACCCCCTTTATGAAGATCTCAGGAAGTGTTCTGAAGTTCAAGGTCTTCCCTGGGCCTGAGCAGAAACACCAGTCATGGCAGTAGTGCCCTAAAGCTGGTTCATACCAGCTTGCAAGAGCCAGATGTTACAGTTTCAGGAATTTTGGAAGCCCACATTAAATTGTGTAACTTACAGTTAGATAAATTATATCAAAAACAAAAGTTATAAATACTTAAAACTCTTCAGTTCCTAGTCATGTTGCTATTCGTGCTCTTGAGGTTTCATTCTACCATAGCTGTACGGTGGAAATGCTACATGCTGGTGTGGCTACTGCACGTCTCTGCCCGGCTCTATGTGCAGTGGCCACTATGCCATGGTGTGGGTACTGACATAGTACTGAAGCTGAAAGAGGCTTTAATAAAAATAATTTGTATCACATAAAAGATATAATGACAGTAGACAGTCAATTAGTTGGGACAAGGGCAGACTGGGATGCAATGGAATGAGTGATTGTCCAATCATAGTTGAACTGCTGGCTACAGATACAAGAGTTTGGCCAAGATGAACAAAAGTATTCCATGGAAACCAATTCACTATATAGAATTTGCCATCAAGAATACCGTATAGGCCAGGCAAGGTGGCTTACGCCTGTAATCCCGGCACTTTGGAAGGCCAAGGTGGGCGGATCACATGAGGTCAGGAGTTTGACACCAGCCTGGCTAACATGGTGAAACCCCGTTTCTACTAAAAATACCAACAATTATCCAGGTATGGTGGCGTGCGCCTGTAATCCCAGCTACTCAGGAGGCTGAGACAGGAGAATCACCTTGAACCTGGGAGGCAGAGGTTGCAGTGAGCCGAGATCGGGCCATTGCACTCCATCTTGGGCAACAAGAGTGAAACTCTGTCTCAAAAAAAGAAAAAAAGAATACTGTATATTTCATTACTTGTAGACTGTGTGCTACATATCATTCGTATCAGCAAAATTTATCATAAACATATGGACATATATATGCTTACTTCCTCCCTAGAGGGTTTCTTATTCAAAGTTGGACCAGACACCACTGGATATGCAGGAAAGATGAAATTCAATAGGAAACAAACTTAAAAGCAGCTTTTCCAGAAAGTCATAAGGAAGAGCAATGTGAAGATAATCTGTTAAAGTCAGTGTTCATGCCGATACCGATTTGATTTATCAGTATAGAAAAGACTTTTGTTTGCAAACTTCTCCAGTTTGAAAGAGAACCAGGATTTCCATCAAACGAAACTGCGGACATTTTTGTTCAGTCTAAAAGATCATGACTATTGCATAAGATTAGATAATATTATTTATTTATAACTATGACTTATAAAAATGCTTTTTAAATTAAATAATTGTTACCAGGTCTAATTTAGCCTAGTTTAGTATTTTCACCTTTAAATTCACTGAAAAGGTGCATAAATATCAGTCAAGGGTATTGACTTGCTTTATGAACAACTTGACTTGCTCAGATAACCCATTCACTCTCTGACTTGCAGGGAGCTGAAAGCTAAACCCGTCAGACCAAGGAAAGGCTCTGGCCCAACCACCATAGAGAAGAAAGTTCCCAGACCACACCATGGTTTTAACCACCTGTTACGTATTTCAACACTCATCACATGATCTCTATACACAGTAGCAAAGAGGCAGTGCTGGTCCCTGGCATCCTATTGTGTGAACTTTTATTGATCCATAATCTAGTATAATTTATACACAGAAATAGTCACTCAGACAGACTGGGCCTTTGTCCCATCCAAAAACATATTTGCTCCCATTTTTAGTGTAAAATTTCCCCAAATGGTTTTAGTGGAGGAAATGAAGTCATCCATGAGACCTAGTTAAGACTAAGAATTATTTTATGTTTGAAGTTGATGTTTGTTTAGCTATGTTCTTGCGATGCCAGCAAAAAAAAAAAGAAAAAGAAAAATCCAGATCTGAAGCATGGGTGTGTTATGAGAAGCCTGGAAAAGGCGATTTGGGTCCATTATATAACGGCCACTTTTTGTTTTTGTTCAAGGTGTCATAAAACTGAGTTCTGCAGTTGAAGGTATGTTTTTACAACCGCAAAATCAATAATGTTTTGCTTGAAGGTTGCATAGCGTGGCTTGTAGCTAAAAAGCTTCTGTGGCAGTGGTGTTTGACGCCATGTGCAAATTGCCAGCTATTGCCATTGCATCTGTGTTTCCCCTTGTTCTGGTCATTTTATGCTGCAAAGCTCTTGGCCCTCCTCAAATGGCGTTTGCACTGACCTGAGAGGCCGGCCCCAACATGTCTGTTTCTGTCTCCTCATGTGACTGCCCCGAACTGGTGCTCCTCAGAGTGCCTGGGCTCTTCTGTGGCCTGATGTGAGGCTGGACACAGTCTTGTCAGAAACCTTTGCCCTGGGTCCTTCAGCAGAGCCTGGTCTAGAGCATCCTTTATCCCAACAGAGCAGACATGTTTGCCCAAGAAGTACGTAGCCATGAAGAATTGGTCAGGCTTCCTGATGAGAAAATGAGATGGTTAAGGCACCTGCCAGTCTCCTTGTGGGTTCCTCCTGGGCAGTGTGACCCACCACCACGAGGCATGGTAAAGATCAGGTTCCTTTACTGTTGTCCCTGTTGATGAACGGCAGTTCCCTTCGGTCATGCATTCAAAACGCCAAGAAGAAAAGGAAGAAGGATTTAAGGAAAGTACAAAAGAGACATTAAAGCAAAGTGTTTTGCTGAGTAACCCCAAGAATATTAAAATGACCTCATTTTCTGAAATGATTAGTTGGTTATTGGTATAAAATTGATCTCCTTAGCCCCATCGGAGTTTCACAGTTCAAAAGTCGAGAATGTGTCATTTTCTCCTTTTGTGAGTTTCTGTGTTTGTTTGGGGGGTATGTGTGTTCTCGTTTATTGGGAGTTTGTCGGTCATGCTTTGGAGGTTTCTTCCTCCTCACTGAATCAGGGGAGGCTGCATGGAAGAGGTGGTGGGCATTCAGGTGAGTTTTCAATTTAAAGGGAGATGTGGCTGGCTTGGTGAATGGGCAATGCATGGAGGTGGGGAGTGGGAAAATCGCACGGGGGGTTGGAATGCTGAGGCCATTCGTGGGCTGGAGTTTCAAGGTTGGGAGGTGGAAGAGTAGGTCAGTTATGGACCCATGGGACTGGCAAATCCAAAGCGAGGGTGCCCTATCCCTTCGGTGGATTCAGTACCATCACATTTTACAAAACCAAGTTGAAACGGCAGTATTTCTGGCCTTTGTGGCAGAAAGTATGTTGCTACTGGAAGTCAAGGAAAAGGTGCAGGCAGCGGCGTTTCAGGGTGGCGAGAAAAAGACCTTCTCACCTCGAGGAGAAAGTGCATGTTGCAGGCCTCGGACAGGCCAAGCAGAAATTCAAGTTCCCTTTGCACATCAACATGGAATTTTATTGAAGGATCGTCCAGGCTCCTCCCTGCCTAACGAGATGTAAGAGACACAGAAGCAGAATCAAGTAGCACCGTAAGAATGACCTTGGCTGCAGAAAACTGCCAGCGGCAATTTGAGCGCTGAGTTTCAGTTATCTGTTGAATTACAGATAACGGTTCACTCTGGGTCGTCTTGACATTTTATCAAGGAATGGCTTTGAAGTCATAGTTTTACATCGCCTGCCTGACTTGAGAGCAGTATTCCACTTGGAACAGAAGGACAGAGCGACAAAATACAGTTCTCATTTTAAAAGTCAGAAAGTCAAGAGAGCATTACGTAATTTGAAAACTGTTGTTTCGCTAGAAGTTACTAGTGGGTGGCATGGCTTGTCTGCACCCCCAGAACAGGGTTCTGTTCTCTCAAGAAAGATGAGAGTTTGAGGGAAAATGAAGGCAGGAAGCGGAATGCCTGCTTGGGGCTTGTCTGGCAGCCTCTGGCCACCTTCCCCATCACTCGCCTCCTCTGAGTCCCTGGGGCTCACAGGAAGTTCTCTGGAGTAGCTGCAGTACCTGAGGTCAGGCCCACTGCGACTGCTGCTTGAGCATCTTTTGGGCGGCTTACTGTCTGAGGCTCAGGAGCATGCTGTGTTGTAACGGTGTTAGAATGGATGTGTGCAGGGCAATTGGGAGTGCGATTGTTGGGGTAAGGGGCGTGTGTTCCATGCATGCATTCTCCGTGCATCTGAAACCTGGAACTCTTACAAGCATGCTCAGTGGCACGTGTGTCAGATACTATCTCTCGATGAGAAATCAAACCTCAGATGGTCAGCCTTGCAACTGCTTAGCTAATGACCGTACTTGCTACTTTCCATCTACGGACTGAATTCAAGGCAGCTTCATACAGCTTTTCATATCAAAGAATATGCACATCACTGGAAGAAATCCACTGTCAGAAATGAAACCTCTTTTCTTTAAAAAAAAAAAAAAAAAAAAAAAAAAAAAACTCTGCTCTAGATTATCCTAGAACTCTGAAAGTAGTATTAATATTTTAGACAGATTCTCTTATTCTTTTCAAGGAAAAATAATTGTCAAAGTCCTAAGAGAAAAACAAACCAAGATTCCATTTGCCACTCCCCACCAAGTGTCTATGGCAGGCATTTTGTTTCTTCTTTTCTTTCACACTACAGCTTCATATCAGCTTTTTAAATCAGCAGAAAGAAAAACCCATTTTATAGCTCATGAATGCTAAGGTTAATGATGGAATGTCGTTTGAAAGACTTAAAATGGTATTTAAACAGAAACACTCATCAATGCTTTGATTATGTTGCAATGAGGAAAAATATGTGACTAGGAAAAAAGTTCAGTTTGAAAGATACAAATGCAAAGTTTTATCGATGACACTGATGAATTCTCACCTCTGATGTTAGATTGATAATCCCAAACTCTGAGAAAATTGGGGTAAGAGAGAAACATCCTGACAGCAATTTGGGGGAAGGGGTAGACAGTTGCACCAATGGCAGGTACTAATGTTAGGGTCTGAGTTTCTGTATCGTATTGAGAGTTCTACAATAGATCAGGTAACAAATAATGCTACCGGGATAAATATTGTGGAGAAGAAGTCTAGTTTGAAGCTTAGCAACAATTTAAGAGTTTGATTTGTCATTCAATGTCAATTTGAGATGATTCTTTCTTGGTCTGTAAACATCAATATTGTTGTAGAGGTGAGGCTAATGGTGAAGATGCATGCAATGGCTGTTTTCAAATAGTGTGGGTATGAATTTTGTTTGTAAGGATTGATTAGGGTAATAGTAATAAGTATAAATAGGGGAATTAGGGTTATTAATATGATAGAAGAATACGTATTTTGATTTTATTTGGAATTGCACCCATATTTTTGCTTCCTAAGACCAGTGGATGACTTTTATCCTTTAAAAGTTGAGAAAGCCACGTTGCTGGACATGGGGGCGTGAGTTAGCAGTTCCTGCATACTTTCTCTGTAGGTAAGAAGTTGTAGCTTCTATTATTAGATTCACAGTCTAATGTTTTGATTAAACTGTAACTACAGAGTGTGAAACCCATAACGATTTTAGGATCCAAGGATAGTAGTAGGACGGGGTACTAGTAAGAAGGAAAAACAACTCACAGCAAGAATTCCACAGAAGCCTTCTAAATACTTCTTTGAATAGGGTCTTTTCTCTTGAAACTGGAGCAGGGAGATAGATGGGGGGGGTACATATTTTCACAGGTAGGGCCAAAACATTGGCCTTATCAAGAAGAAATGGGAACAGAGGTCATGGAAGAGCTGAGTCACCCCTGAGTCAGAATGGCTCTGATACTCTATAGGCAGCTATTTCTTTACAGGGAAGGAGGGGCCACCCCAGCTGGAAACTCTTGTTCCAGCCAAAGGGGTGCATTCAGACATGGTGAGTGGGAGTGTTCCAGCAGGCACAGGCCTGGAGGGACAAGGTGAGGCAGCCGTGATGGTAGGCTGATGAAAGTCTTTGCCACTCATAACCAGCGTGTGTTCTGCGTTGAGACTTGTCTCTAAGGTGATTTGTTTATACCTCGTAGGTGAGACTCCAAAATGCCAAAAGGACATCACATTCTTTTGAAAGTCCACATGAAAAAAAGTGAAAGTTGTTGTCTTTGGAAAAGTTCCGTGTCTGTAAATACAGGAACAGATGAGCCTCTCTGAAGAAATTAAATAAATGAGGGCTGGGTGCGGTGGTTCACAGCTGTGATCCCAGCACTTTGGGAGGTCGAGGCAGGAAAATAGCTTGAGGCCAGGTATTAAATAGTTTGAGATGGGCCTGGGCAATACAGCGAGATCCCCCCTCTATACAAAAAATAGTTTTGAAAAGTTAGCCGGGTGCAGTGGCGTACACCTATAGTCCTAGCTATTCGGGAATCTGAGGTGGCAGACAAGTTGAGCCCAGGAGTTTGAGGATGAAGTGAGCTGTGAGTACATGACCGCACTCCAGCCTGGTCAACAGAGCGAGACCCTGTCTCTAAAATAAAAAAACTTTTAAAGAAATTCCGTTGTTCATAGTACGACAAGCAATGTGTCCAAAAACACCCCAAATTGACTTAATGCTTTAAAAGTATTCCTGCCGGTTGCAGTGGCTCATGCCTGCAATCCCAGCACTTTGGGAGGCCAAGGCAGGTGGATCACCTAAGGTCAGGAGTTCAATCTCTGCTCACTGCAACCTCTGCCTCCCAAGTTCAATCGATTCTCCTCCCTCAACCCCCTGAGTAGCTGGGACTACAGACGCGGTCTACCGGCTAATTTTTGTATTTTTAGTGGAGACAATGGTTCACCTTGTTGGCCGAGTTGGTCTTGAACTCTCAGCCTCAAGTGATCTGCCCATCTCAGCCTCCCAAAGTGCTGGGATTACAGGCATGAGCCACCTTGCCCAACCAAGTCTTTCTATTTATTTTGAGCAAAGCCATGAGCTCAATGTGTCAGGGTAGATTGTGGTAAATACTTTAATAAACTCATAGCTGATGGACTTACATCAAGAAGTAAATTAAGAATGAAGTTTCAACATTGTTTTTGAGACGAAGTCTCACTCTGTCACCAGGCTGGAGTGCAGTGGCACGATCTCGGCTCACTGCAACCTCCGCCTCCAGGTTTCAAGTGATTCTCCTGCCTTAGCCTCCTGAGTAGCTGGGACTACAGGCACACTCCACCTCACCTGGCTAATTTTTGTATTTTTCTCCATGTTGGTCAGGATGGTCTCGATCTCCTGACCTCATGACCCACCCACCTCGGCCTCCCAAAGTGCTGGAATTACAGGCGTGAGCCACCGCACCTGGCCAGCTTCAACATTTTTACTACTGGAAATCAAAATGTCAATCACATGACTGACAGAAATACGGTAGGGCTGTCTCCCAGAAGGAGGTCCTTCCCTTCCACCAGCGTGAAAGGTGGCAGTGTGTCGGGAATACTAAATGTAATATTATAGAAACTGAGAACAAAACTCAAGAAACTTGTTTCTGCAAAGAAACCCAGACATCCTGTTTATAAGAGTAACATGGAGGCTGGAGAGCCACACTAAACAAATGAATGCTCTCTCCTCAGATGTATCTTGTAGACACTTGTCATTATACTTTTGGCTAAAAGTTTCTATTTTTTTTCTTCTCCAATTTTTTTTTTTTTTTTTTTTTTTTTGTAGAGACAGGGTCTCACTATGTTGCCCAGGGTAGTGTTGAACTCCTGGCCTCAAATGATCCTCCTGCCTTAGCATCTGCATTCAGCCAAAATATTCCTATGAAATAGTAATGTCTCAACCAGGCATGGTGACTAATCCCAGCACTTTGGGAGGCTGAGGCAGGAGGATTACTTGAGGTCTGGAGTTCAAGACCAGCATGGCCAACATGCTGAGACCCATCTCTACTAAAAATATAAAAAATTAGCCAGGCATGGTGGCAGGTGCCTATAGTCCCAGCTGTTCGGGAGGTTGAAGCAGGAGAATCACTTGAACCCCGGAGGCAGAGGTTGTGGTGAGCCGAGAGTGTGCCAGTACACTCCAGCCTGGGTGACAGAACGAGATCTTATTTCCAAAAAACAAAGTCACGTCTCTGGGAGCACTGAGAGTTTCCCAAATAGCTTCCTAAGACTAGGACCCTCCTGAAATGGCAAAGATGGAGCCACGTGACCCAGGAACTAGAGTTCAAGATGGGTGGAAAGAACTATTTCAAGGGTCAGCCATCTCTAGTCTTGGGATTGCCCTCACCTCGGATAAAGTTGACCTCAAATGACGAACCACTGGCCTCATTTCAGAGCTCGCTCTGAAATTCATCTCTCTCACATTCATCTTTTTACTTTTTTTAAAAGTTTCTCTTTTCCCCTCTTTTGTTTCCGTGTCCCTCCTCCTCAATTCCAACTGCCCGTCTCTATTTTTGTGCAGTGCAGAAAACAGTTTAAGGGGGACCTTAGGCAATAGAAAGCCAACCAGTGGCTGGAAGGGTCTGGCAAGTAACTGCCATTTGCTTCAGTGTCCTCGCCAAGAAAATAAAGACTTCTATTGGGGCAGTTGCAGAGACTAAACTAGATGATAGAGCGAAAGCCTTAGCATAGTGTACGGAAGGCAGAAGGTGATCTTCCCTCTCTCCTCTTTCCGTTGTCTAATGATCACTTCCACTAGAATCATGGCGTAACTCACCACTGAGAGTTTCACTGGCAAAGCCACAAACAGAGCCAGCCTAAATCCTTGATTCCCCTTTGAGAGTACGTAGAAGGAAGCGACTCCTCGTGCGGGACAGAGCTCCCTGATCACCTTTCTGGGAGCTGTGGCATCGCTGTGCAGAAGGGAGCAGCTGCCCAAATGAAGACATTGCCAGGGGCCAGTCACAGCCCCAGTTTGGAGTGTTCAATTCTATGAGATTGTCCCCCAGCCCGTTCTTTCAGTCCCAGAAGGTGGGGAGGAGAGGAAAGGATTTCAGGCTAATAAAACAAACAAGTGCTAATTGAAGACTGATTTCATCAATATGAATCATGTTTTATTACAAAGTTTATACTTGCACAGTGTTCCTGAGCGAGCCATTTGTCACCACTTATCAAGAATATGGAAGGTTTTGAATAAGGAGAACTAAAGTGAATACAGCCACAGCTATCCAGAGAGAAACCTTTCATAAATCTTTGAACTTCAGAGCCAAAAACTAATCAAATCTGTGCTGAATAAGCAGCCTTGAGCGCTTAACAACAAATTAGCACAACCCAGAAGACAGTGTGCCTCCCAAGCATGTAACCTGCCCTTCACCCTCCTCCCTGGGGCAGGAAACAGGCATTTATAAATCAAAGGCAAGCTGCAAACGATAATCTACCACTTGTCACTGATTTATTTTCCCTCTTTTTGTTTTTCAAGAGTGTAAGTTTCAATGTCTGTGTATTTGAGTTTATTATTTTGGCAGGTTACTGAAAGTGTTTAATGTAAACAAAATTCTTACTCTTAAAGAACAACCAACTCTATTAACTTGCATAAGAAGGCAGTTCTTAAAGACAATGGTCTAATTTAGCAGCCTTTGAAGCCAATTCAATAGTAATATCAAAGCTACTTCTAGTATTTCAAGCCCAAATTTAGAAAATGGCCTTAATATTTTCAATCTAAAATTATAGTCTGACCTTCCTATTAATTTTGGAACACACCATAATTTAGACAACTGCTGAAATCACTTAATGTTATGAACCTGGAAATCACACCCCCTTAAATTATACATCACACCCATTAAAATTAACTGTAAAATCCATTTTGTATTGATTTTGTTTGAACTGGTATTCAACTAAGATGCTTACATCTGTAAATATTGCCACAGCTGTATGTACAACAGTTTTGTTGAAT